TTTTTGTGGGAAGCCATCTGTGGTAGAACCAATACATGTGATGTTCTACAAAGGGGACAATTCTACAAAGTCCTCTATATCATGCATGTAATTAAGCTTGCTTTCATGATGGGGACTCAATGAAGCACTTATTGTTTATTAATTGATAAACAATTAATAAGTGCAATCAGCAAAACTAAGACAAAGTAAAAAATGTTTTTCTACTTTTCATTCCCGCCTCAACTCTTTGGATAAAAAGATTCTTCCTTCAAGAATTATAGGAGTATTTTTATTCATATAGGAGCAAAACTGTTTTAGATGTTACATGAGAGCTTTCAATCACCAAAATTATTCATTAGTGGAGGTGTGGAGTAAGTAACTTAAACCTCAAACTACAAGTGGTAAGTAGTTAATTTGATAAGTAAACCCAAGGGATAGTGTCTTAGTATTTAATCAAAGCCCCAGGCCAACTGAGGGGCAGTTCATCAGTTGGTTCATTCAAATAAAAATAAAATGAGTGTGGTGCTGCGCTATATATTCAACGGCCATATAGGGGATTTGGACATTTCACCAAATACCAAAAAATAAAATAAAAAAAATAACAAAATCAAAGCCCCAGCTGGGAACCTACAAGTAATTTACCCTTGGAGTGAAGAAGAAAACAAGAAAAAAAGAACCCAGAAGGAATATGTACTTGTCCTTCCACCAAACATCCAATTGAATCCAAAGATGGTTCCTTGAATTGATGGGGCTATGTCACCACTCCACTATATGGGCCTTCTATTGATATGGATCTTCTATCTTCGACCAAAAGTTTGAACCAATGACACTGATTGATCGGGTTGGGAAGAGCCTACCTATATTTTATTTTATTTTCCCAAGGAAAGAAAAAGCTTGAAGCCTCCATAAAGTAGTTGTCATAGTTAAAGGACCATAGCCCTACATGTAAAATAGCTGCTGGTTATTATTGAGCAAATTGAACAAGAACAAGTTACTAGTTTTCACATCATGTCTCACCCTAATTTTTGTTACCATAAGACAAGACAGAAACAACCCTGTTGACTTAGCAGGGTCAAGGCTGAGATGTTTAAAATAGGATTTACATATCATATCATATATATATATATATATATATATATATCCAATGCTTCATAGATGTTTATGTATCACTGGGGCCAATTAAATTGCAATCAGGTGGGACCAATTAAAGTGGAAAAGTAAAAATATTCAGGGTTTAGAACCAAATTCAAATCATTTTTATCAAACACCACCACGTATTTTCCCTTTTTCCCAACGTAACTGAAAAAAGGACACCACGGTCGGTTCGGTCAATAAAAGTTCTTTCTATTCTGCTTTTTTTCCTAGATGCCATTGAGTTGAGCTGAGTGACAGCCACTCAAATTTTTGGCAGCGTGATGGACTTTTGTGAGCCTAGGGCTGTGAAAATAACTGAAAGGCTAACTGAATGACATATTGTTTTGTCTTTTTGTGGATAAAATATATTTGAGGACCTCACAACCTCCTTGATAATATATTCAATGAAAAACAGCAATGAAGTCCTTCAGCTGATATCAAAATGCCATACTCCTGTTTAAGGTTATGAAAGTGATATAACCATATAAGAGAAAAATTTAAGTTTCTTCTATTTCACTCTATAGGTTGCATTTGTTCCCTTCTAGTAGGGGAGGAAACCACAGCCTTTTGGTAAAACAGAAAGGTCAAAAAGAATAACTAGAACATTTTAGATTTAGAAAAACAAAATCATTGCTTGGTACAATGGTAAAATCTGGAAGTGGCAAGTGTGAGAGTGTGGATTTGAGTCTGAGAGCAATTACTTCATGGCTCATACAAAAGAAAAATGTCAAAAATTAGGTAGCCTGAATACATTTCAACAAACAGAGAAGAATCCTAGCAGGGAATTCAAGTGGCATATTCTTCAGTTGTGGATATAGGTGAGAAGCTTGAGAACACTCTTTATCCTGCCTTCATCCAGAAGCACGAGTTGGTTGGCACTTCGGGGTCTGAACTAAAAATTTTTAAAGATGAATCAGAACCCATTCTGGATGATGGACATCTATTGTAGTCCGAGAATACCCATAAAAGTTCTAGACTTCTGCATTCACTTTGGGCCTAGTCATGACTTACATTATATCATGCATGCTTAACAGCCTACACAGAGATGGTAACCACCTCTCTGAGTAGATTGCATAGGCCTCAGTGTGTGATCAACCCTGTTTAGGCCTCTTGCAGAATATTGTTTTAACATTTTCCAACAACTTTCAGCAAGCACAGTATCCTACTGTAAAAAAAAAAAAAAAAATACCATCTCAATTTTGGTATTTTTACTTTTAAAATATATACATGTTCAACTCCACCATCTTAGTCCTAAGATGGCGTGTGTGTGTGTATGCACATGCGACTTTAGCCCTAATAAGGGCGGGGTACAGATAGTGGGGTTATTGAGAGCAAGGATGCACACAGGGCCCATTGGCAATCTCAATTCTGAAAGCCTACACATTTTAGCAGGTTTATCCATATGGAAAAACTTTGGCTGTGTAGAAAACAGCCTAGGCTGTTTTGGGAGACTGCTGCAAATGACATCTCATAATGAGTGGGCAAAAAGGTATTTACACTTGAGACTTTTTTAGTTGAAAAACAAATGAGGACCTGAATTAGCTAAGGTGTCATGTGCAGAGGCTCCCAAAACAGCCAAAGTGAACTCATATGGCTCTAGTCAATGCATAATGTTTCTAATTGATGATGAAAATAGTGAAAGTACATGTACACATCATACAAATGTTCAAAAAATGAACCCTGAATAGAACATCTTTTACGTAATGTGATTCCAAAAAATTGTTATTTTCATAAAATAAATATTGATATGGTTTCGGAATCATACCACCCTTTCTTAAGAACCATATAACCATGAACCCAACACCATGGAAGCAAGACAACTATTTATCTATTTCAATGCAGAGTTTCTATTATATTAGTAGAATGGATTATAATCGTGTAAAATACTGCAACTTCTCATTCTTCAACAAAATCAACAGACAATAAAACGGCGCTGTTTTTTGAGCTAGAATTTATAAATAGAATCCAAGTGTGCTTTTAATACTTGGAAGGTGATGAGATTTCCTTCAAGGATGTTGGACTCCCTTGAGCTAGAACTGGGGAACATGATAAGGAGAAGGATCATTTATGCTTCAAGTGTCTCATTTATTGATGCAGAGTGAGAGAGATTGCTTTAAGAAAAGAAGGATCTTTTGCTCACTCCAAGAATATGTTTGGTAAAACGAAGTCAAAAGAGAATGCTTGGTACTAACACTCTTTAGAAACAGCAATAGAAAGTGAAGTTAGTGGACAATAAATATGAAATGTTAGATAAATTCAAAGAAACTCTTACATGTTATGTTTTGCTTTGATAGAAAATAAGAACTTTCCCTCAACTTTCTGTTTCTGTCATATTTTCATTCAAACCAAACATAACCTTAGCTTAGGGTGTTTTCTACATATTATGCACTTTTTGTCATCCCACTGCTGTCTTGTGAATTGATGGCACTACAGAAGTGAAAACAAATGGTGAACCGCAAGCAGTAAGGAAAACCGCGTTGAGCTTCTCCTCAACATCACTCTTTAGTCTGTCCTAAGAAGTGGCACCCCAACAAGCAAAAAAACAAAATGCTAATTTTCAATGGGCTAAATACCCTCTAGAATCAGAGTAACAATAACATACACCAGAGATTTTAGGCTGTGTTTGGTTGGAAGAAAGGTAGGGAATACCTTTCCCTTCCTTTCCCTACCTTTTCTTTCAAACCTAGATCAAGATTATAACTAAAACTCTAGGAATATAGACATAACTCAACTTGGCCATGATCCCAATTCCCTACTATTTAGGATTCGCTACAGAAATCCTGTCCCGCCATTGTGCTCTATCAAGACGACAAGAGTCATGCTTTTAAAAGAATAGAAAACACTGAATAATCTGATAGAAAAGAGAACAGCAAAGAAGTTGAGGTAAATGAGAAATGATGTGGTAAGAATTACCCAAGACAAAAAAGACTTGGCATATTTATACTAAATAAGACAGCTTGAATGATTTTTATTATACACTCATCAATAAACATCCAAACAGCTTGACAACTTCTAGTAGGAAAAGGACTAAAGAATATTTCATTCTTATTGAAAAGATAGAAATCAAATGCCAATTAATTCAAAAAATCAGGTGAAATCAAATGTCAGTTACTCCAAAAAATAAAGAACAAAACAAATTTATCAAATGAGTACAGAAAAGAAGGATAAAATGAACAAGAAAACAGCTCTACAACCATACAAATCAAGTAATTTAAGGGTATCTTCACTCGGGATATATAGTAGAAAGCTAATGATAAAAGACCTTGATCCCTTGGTTAGTAACTTAATATTGCTCGTTTTGCACTACAACATATGGGGCCGTTTGATAATAGCTGAAGTGACTGAACTGAATCACTTATTTTTTGCCTTTTAGTGAATATACGTTAATAAGGAGGTTGTGTGAGCTCCTTAATATCTGAAACTGAAAGAACTGGATTGATTATCATAGTTTTGGGCATTTTATTATTTAATTATAACTATTTTACACTAAAAGACAAAGCAGTAAGTCATTCAATTCAGCCACTTCAGTTGTTAGTACCAAAGGGCCCTTAAGGTTTACAGCATGAGAATCAAACAGGATCTGGGTTGGTTATCTCCCCCAAAATTAGCTGATATAGCTTTTGCCAATAGAGACCAAACCTAGGAAGAATATGTACATCTTCTATTTGGTAGCTTACTATATTCCTTATGTTTACCAAAACAAATAACATATGAGAATTCATATATCAACACTTTCAACTGTTGAATAAGTGTAATCTAAGATCAGATTCTCTATAGCAGACAAATTCACTATTGTAACAAGGAAAAAGAAAGATTGGCCCTAGAATTATTTGTATTTCCCCCCATTTCCTCTTTCTATTCAACCACACAGTCAATCCAAACAACCATCTAAGGCACCAAAAAGGTAAACTAGAATTATTTGCATCTTCAAAATTCCATTCCAGTGGTTCGTTTACAAAATAATCATCCCGCATATTAAGAGCAAATATTTCTCGTTGATTCTATTCTTGATGTCAGACACCACCTATATTCAGCTCTCCAAGTTTTCTGTATGTTATTTTTTGATACAACTATAATGTAAATACTCAATGGAGATACAATATCCTTCAAGCCTCGTAAAGCATGCCAACTTCAATTCGCTGTGGGAGTGGTATCCCCAAAGCTGGAAGTGCAGACCTGCAATTGTTGTGTAGAACTTCATAAAATGCAAGCATTGCCTTATCAAACAAGGTGGAGTTCTTGCCTATGTAAAACCTCGCCTTCCCTCGAATATGAACAATGCCTGTCAATTTGGCTGTTTCCAACTCCAGTAATTCTTCTTCAATTGACAAAGGAACTGATGGTAAAAGGCCAGAATGGTTCTCTATAAGAGCTTGCAAGCTATCAGTAACTTGACTAACTAAATCATCTCCTTCAAGATTGAGAGAGTCGGCATAGCCATACTGAATCAGACAACCATACACCCCCTTGAGGCCCAATTTCTTGATGACAATCCTTTCATTTGGAGCCACTTTAGGAACCAATAGGTACCTGAGTGTTGTGAAAACAGTGATTTTGTGCATGGATCTCATGTTCTTGATATAATGCCCAAGGATCGGAGTCAATCCATCCTGGATGTTGCTGTAAAAGAAGCACATGCCTGGAACCCTTTGGATTCCAGGGTCTGACAATAGCATACTTAGAGTTTCCAAGTCTATCTTATGGGTCATCTCATACTCTATCTTTCTCTGCCTCCCATAGAACCAGCCGAACATGATTAATGCAAGGATGAAGGAAATTGCAAAAGGTATCCATCCACCCTCTGGGATCTTAGTGAATACAGCACTTACATAAGCACCTTCCATGGTAAAAAACACAACAAAATAAAGTCCAACCAGCAATAATGGTTTTCTCCATATCATGACCATGACTAATGTTAGTAAAATGGTAGTGATGAGCATAACCAGACTAACCACAACACCTGCATATGAAGTCAGTTATTCAGTTCTTACCAATTAGCACATGACAGGAAAGCCAAAACTTTTCCAGAAATTTAAAGATAATTGTTAAAACAAAACTTTAACCATTTGGAAAAATGATACAATCCTAATGTTGAATATTCTCTGAGCCAAGTTTTCAAGTTTTGATATGATTTTGTAAAAACTTTGATTTCATTGTGGGAGAACACTGACATAGGTATTTCATTCTCAATATTTTAGGCTTAATTTTTTAGTTTATCTCTGAAACTTAGGTTGATTCTGGAGTTAATTTCCACCAAATTATTGCTTGCAGAAAGAAAAATAAAGATACATATACATTTATTTGATAGAAATATCATATAATGAAAAGATGAGATATTGTGTACAACAAATTAATGCACTTAATGGAAAAATAATATTGGATATTTATCAAAAAATAATATTAGATATTTTGTTTCATCGATGTCAAAAGAAAAGGTTGATCATGCAATTGCAAGGCATGCCTAGAATACAAGAACCATGAACCCCACCCACTTAGAAGATCTGACAAGTGAAAACTAGGAAGTGTGGGAGATCAACAAAATCCATGATATTAAACTTCTTCAAGATCTTCTCATCATGAACTTTCTGATTCTCACCATCGAGAAAAAAGTTGCCAGTGTCATAGGAGAGCAAAGAGGTAATCACCACGATCCATGGTGATCACCAATTCTGACCATCCAGAAGAAAATACAATCTCTATAGTAGGAGATAGGCATGAGACATAGATTGTCTTTATGATCTTTGGTTGAACCGTTGGAGACCATTGAATTGTCTCCTCTCTTCCACTCTCACCTCCAAATCATGTAGAAAAGGAGCAACTACATGGGGATGGCTAGGACTGCAACTTGGGTGGGCCCAACCCAAATCTTAGCACGGGTTGGACCTGAGTATTTGGCTGTGTGCTGGGCCTGGGCCTGGGCCAGAAAACTTCAGTTGGACTTGGGTTGAGCTTTGGGTAGCCTAAGCCCAGCCTGACCAACTCGAGCCACCCAAACAAATGCATACATAAATGCATTTTATTTATAAAAAAAATCCTTTTTTCTAATTATTATATGCATGTATATACGTACAAAATATGCATATGTGCATTTATAAATGCAGTAAATTACAAAGACCCCTTGTACTATGGGATCAGTGACAAATACCCCCCTGAACTTTCATTTGCGACAGAGACCCCCCAGAACTTTCACTTTCAGACAAATCCCCCCGTTAGAGTTCCATCAGTTAACTTCGAAAAAGATTCTCATTCAGCTGTTTAAAATTTTTTAAATCCTTGCATATTTCTAGCTGGACTCATATTCAAATGAAATGGTAGAGGTTTCTTTTTGATACACATAAATTTATGGTTCTGTTTGGTTTTTCTTGATTTATTGGAGAAGGAATGGATAATTTTTATATTTTAAGATGAAGAGAGACATTCATGTTAGTGAAATGAATCAAGAATACAAATAAAAGTTCTTTTCTATGCCAATGAAATAATTCTTGTTATTTCATCTGATTTCATTTGAAGAAAATGGAGGTATTTTTGGTCAAATAGGGTTTAAGAGAAAAGGGCAAGGAAAAGAAAATAAGGAAAGTTCAGGTAGGCATTTTGGTAATTTAACACATTTCATCATCTGACTTAAACAGCGAGGGGGGTATTCGTCGCAAAGTGAAAGTTCAGGAGGTCTTTATCAAAAATGAAATTTCAAGGTGGTATTTGTCACTAACCCCACAGTACAAGGAGGGTCTTTGTAATTTACCCTAACTTGTACATATTCTTAATCAATTCTACTCCAAAATTGGGCCATAAAGCCCAATAAAAGATGACTGTACAAAAACATATTAATAAATTCTTTCAAACCCGACCAACCTGCCCAAGCCCAACTAAGAATGGCCTGAACCAACCCAAGCCTGAGTCCAGCCCAAATGTTGTTGGGTTAAGCTCAGGTTGGGCCCAAGTTGATAAATGTCAGGCTTAACCTCAGATTGGGCCGGGTCCGGTCCTGAGGTTTGCACCTTTAGTATTAAGCATGAGTTGACCCCAACACAACCCAACCTTATCGAGTTGAATCCATAGGGATGGAAGAATACTAGGGGTTTTGGCAGGTGCTTGGTTTTTCCCTTTTATTTGAACACCATAAAGAAAAAAGGTGTGGGTTTTCAGTTTGGCATACCAAAAGCATTTCCTATGTCTTTTCCATCTCCAAAAATAAGTATGACAGCAACACAGAGAACCATGAGGATGTAGTTGACTTCTGGTGAGTAAACCTCCCCTTCTTTGTTGGGAGAAGTGTGCACTACCTTGACTCGAGGGAAATAATCCAATACCACAGATTGCTTGATAACAGAAAATGTAGCAGATATTAGTGATTGACTTGCGACAATTGCTGCAAGTGTGGCTATAATGAACATGGGCCAGTAGACTGTGGTAGGTACAAACTTGTAAAACCCATCATCATGATCATTAGGGTGCTTAATCAGATATGCTGTCTGTCCTGCATATGTCAAGACCAGCGATGGATATATGGTGAATAAAAAGGCCATCTGTAAAACAATTGCAGTGTAAGAGAACAATAGTAACATAATTACCAGTAAGGACTCAGTGATGAGCAAAACTGATGACAAATCCGATAATTAAAAAAAATTACCAATAGAGAAATCTAATAATGTTACCTGAATTGACCTCTGATTGAAATGACCAAGATCTGCAAACATTGCTTCAGAACCTGAATTTGACAGATTACATCAGTAGTCATGGTGCTGTGCATTGTTTATGCAGAACTTTATATGGTTAAACTATGGAATATTTTATGTTTTTTATTGTTCCAACTTTAATAAAGTAAGAAAATGTGAAGAAAAGAATAGAAGAAAGAAAGAGAAGAAGATAGGAAGAGAAAGAGAAGAAAAAGGAAAAGAAAAGAGGGAAGACTAGAAAGGAGAAATCTGTTCTTTTCTCCTTATTGTCGACCCAGGTTGTACTAACATTCTACTAAGGCTGAAATGACTACAATACCCTTAGGAAAAATACAGCAGATATAAGAGAGAAAGAATAACATGAAAAAAGTCAATACTGCCCTTGTTAACTACTTCTAACAATTCTGACACTCCCCCTCAAACTGGAGCATATATATCATAAAGTTCCAGCTTGTTACAAATATAGTCCATCCTTAAGCGACCCACACTTTTAGTAAAAATATCAGCTACTTGGTCTTCAGATTTAACATAGGGAGTAACAACCTCTCCACTTGTCACTTTCTATCTCATGAAATGACAATCAACTTCAATGTGCTTAGTCCTTTCATGAAACACTAGATTAGAGGCAATAGTGTTGCAGCTTGGTTGTCACAAAACAATTTAATGGGTTGACAGCTTGTGATAATCATCTCTTGAAGAAGATACTTCAACCAGACTAGCTCACAAGTAGCATGGGCCATTGCCCTGTATTCAGCTTCAGCGCTACTCCTAGCAACTAAGTTCTGCTTCTTGCTCTTCCAAGTAATGAGATTTCCACACAAGAAAGTACAACAACATGTAGTAGACTTCCTGTCCATCGGAGACCTACCCAATCTGCACCTGAGACCCTGCCCTTGACCAGGAGCACCCTCATAACACCATCCCAATGAGCATTTGTTGGATTCTGCATGAATTGATTGAGGACTCCAACACTAAAAGAGATTTCAAGCCTAGTGAAGGTAAGATAGATCAACTTGCCTACTAGTCTCCGATACCTTGTAGGGTCTTCTAATGGCTCCCCCTGACTATCAGTCATCTTCACATTGGGATCCATGGGAGTTTCAACTGGCTTGGATCCTAACAACCCAGTTTCATCCAACATATCTAAAACATACTTCCTTTGGGACAGATAGATTCCCCACTTCGATCGAGCTACCTCAATTCCAAGAAAATATTTCAAGGTTCCTAGATCTTTAGTTTGAAAGTATTGTTGTAGGAACTGTTCTAACTCATCTATTCCATATGTATCATTGCCAATGAGAACAATATCATCAACATACACTGCTAGAATGATCTTCTCAGATGACGAGTCTCTACTAAACATAGAGTGATCAACACTGCATTGTTTCAAGCCAAAATCTTGCACCGCACTACTAAAACGATTGAACCACACCCACGGTGATTGCTTTAGCCCATAGATAGCCTTCTTCAATTGACACACTTTTCCTGACTCCCCCCTGAGCGACATATCCAGGAGATTGCTCCATATATACCTCCTCTTGAAGATCACCATGGAGAAACACATTTTTGACATCAAGCTGAAATAGGGGCCAACCAAAGTGGGCAGCTAAAGAAATGAACACTCGTACAGAACCTATTTTAGCCACAGGAGAGAAGGTTTTTGAATAGTCCACACCATAGGTCTGAGTATATAGTAGATATAAGAGAAATCTGTTCTTTTCTCCTTATTGTCAACCCAGGTTGTATTAACATTCTACTAAGGCTGAAAATGACTACAATACCCTTAGGAAAAATACAGCAGATGTAAGAGAGAGAGAATAACATGAAAAAAGTCAATACTGCCCCTGTTAACTACTTCTAACAATTCTGGCATTTATAATTAACACTGAATTTTATTAATTATAAACAGAAAAAGATGCATACAATTTTGCCCCTTATATGTTTATTACAATTGGGCCCAAGACGATTGGTTCCTTTCTACCCCTTGTTTGGCTAAAGCATCAGCCTCAGCCATACTGTTGGCCATCCATTTTATTCATTGGATTTTAATTTGAATTGCCTTGATGGAAAGCTTTATGTTTCCTCTAAGGTTTTTGTTGGTCCACATGCTGAGGATGCCTATACGTCTAGACAATCCAAACAACCCCCAGACCCCCTCCCTCCAAAAAAAAGCAAATGATCATTGAATATGACTAATGGATGTTTACCCCCAATTGGACAGTTCCTAAAAGGCCCGTTCATAGGATTATCTAACTGGAATGGTTTTGGAATTCTGACCTATCCAAGAGTTGCCCAGCCTTGCAGATTGTCTGATGACTTCTCTGCATACTCATCATGTGATAAGCATAACTCTTAAGGACAAATAAGAAGCTTACTATTATACAACTACAGGAATATGCAACAAATAACATTCTAGACAAAAACTCTGGAACAGTAATCAAGTAATTTTATTTGTAATAGGTAAATGCAGTAAGATCTTTTCTGTTTAAGTAGGAACTCTTCCCCAATCCTGAGAACAGGAAGTATCCATGGAAAAATGCCCCTTTGTATCATTACCAAGAGATTGCTTTTCCATTTAAAGAGGCAGAATTTAAAGTTATTTTGAGTTCTAGTAAGTTTTGGGTACTTGATATGAATATTGAAAGTTAAATAATGAGAGACCATAAAATTTTGCAAGTTCTCTATTCTCTCCTCTTTAAACTTTCACATGAAACTTACCAGTAATACAAAGAACAGTGCCACCAAGCAGCAGCCAGCCTTCCTTTCCATTTCTCAGGAAGAAATGGATGATGTAGTGAGGTGATAAAGCCTTGAATATAGATGGGTAGTGTTGTATGATGCCATATATGCCCACCATTGGTGTGGTTAAAGTCCATGTACCCATGATAGGAGAGAAGAGGAAACTCACTCGTGAAGTGCCATACTTTTGCAGCAGGAACAGAACAATCAAAACTATTGCAGAGAGACCTTCAACAAGAGCTGCATTAATAGAAACACAAGAATTTCAAAATATAGGCATTTGCTTTGTCAGAAGAATGACTTTCCTCATCCACACAACACTATTTCTGAAATAAGGGCCTGTATGCAAGCCTACTTGTTAGACTAACTAGGTCAAAATAAGTGTTTTAAAAACCAACCTGGAGGCTGAACCGTTTGTCTCCAGGTCACAGGTCACTGGTTCAACCATCTGAGTTGAACAGGTCAGACCATGACACATCAGCATATATGTATATAATATATACATACATATGTATATATATAAAGAAGTATTTTATCAATAAATAATTTACAATTATATCCTACATGTAATATATATAATATAAGTATTATTTTCTATCTAATTTATATTTTTATTTCAGTTTTTATTTTTTATTTATAAAAAATGCTAAAAATTGGGATTTGAGGCCAAAAATGGAGGTTCTGGCACAATTAACGGGGTTTAGAGCCTTGCAACACATAGATCTCGAAAAGTTACCCCAAATCAAATATAAATATCACCCCAATCGGACAACTGAGCACAAGCACAAACTGGGTTGAACAGATTAACAATTCAACTACCCAGGTCAGATGGTTTTTGATCATGCCAACAGTTTGTCCAAAAGCCAAGCTTTGGGATGCATAGATCTTGAAAAGCCCCAAATCGATATAAAGATCTTGTGGTCAGAAGATCTGGACTCCAAAGTTATGGCCTCCAGAAATTTTAGTGTGTAACCCATGACCCAGTGATTGGGTCGAATGGGTCAACAGTTCAATTGCTCATGTTGAATGGTTTTTGGTCACAAGCTGGGTTTTACTAAAACCACACCCAAAAACATGGTCCAGGGACAGTTGAACGGTTCAATCATCGGAGTCAACAACAAATTGGAAACATTGGTCAAAGTAACTATTGTGTCAGTACCTTGAGTTTCAATTACAAATCTGCTTCATGACCCAACCCAGCAAAGTTGAGAACAACTCAAATATAAAATTTCATAGTGGTTTGTGGTAAAAGCAAAGGGTTGGGTTGTGGGGGCAAAGTCCCACGGTATGGACTCGTAGGGAATCGCAAGTCATCCGATCTCGAAGACATCCAATCTCACAAGTATCTGGTCTTGTAGGCTGTCCGAACTCAGTAGCATCATCTCACAGGATGGACTCACAAGTCCTAGTCTCGTAGAACTCTAGATTCGTAGCGAGATCTTCTTGGACTTGCAAATTCATTCTTTACTATTATTGTAGGCCCGATCCGGTTTAGGGGTTTCTTATATAAATAGCCTTGTACCTTGCACAAAAAGTTATCTTGTATCTTTGGTGCCAAGAAAAGAGAATAGGAGTGTGTGATGGGGATCAGTCCATGCATTATAAGACCTATTCTCATAAGAAGAAGGCCAACAAACAGGTTCTGATTTGGCATGGAGAAGACTCTTGGGACTTGCACTGATCTGGGCAGGGGTATTTTCGTCATTTTGACCAGCCCAGTGTGGGCTTGGGCTATAGCATCTTGTTCTTCTAGCTTAGTAGTGCTTGTCTTTCAATTTTCAGTTTATTTGCATTAGTAGATAGAAAGTTATTGTGTTTCTTGATGCACAGGAGAAAGAGTGGCCCTTTTTGTAATTATGGTGAACTGTGTTCCGGCACACAAGTCACTCTATAAATAGATGCATTCTCTTCCTTTTGAAGCTAATGAATGAATGAAGATTTCTTAAGAGCTCTCTTGCTGTAAGCAACCTTTGGTTCCACCTACTAATGTGCCTGAAGACATCCTTGATGAGAAGTTGATTTCTATAGCAAGTGGGGGTTATCAAATGTTTCTTGTAAAGTGGAAGAACCTACCTCTTTCAGAATGTTCACGGATTACAGCTGAAGATTTGTATCATCTTAATCCAGAACTTTATGAGCAATATCATGCCTTTAACTCGCCAAGGTCGAGTTCTTTCAAGCCAGAGAGAGATGATGGGGATCGGTCCATGCATTATAAGACCTATTCTCATAAGAAGAAGGCCAACAAACAGGTTCTGATTTGGCATGGAGAAGACTCTTGGGACTTGGACTGATCTAGTCAGGGGTATTTTCGTCATTTTGACCAGCCCAATGTGGCCTTGGGCTATAGCATCTTGTTCCTCTAGCTTAGTAGTGTTTGTCTTTCAATTTTCAGTTTATTTGCATTAGTAGATAGAAAGTTATTATGTTTCTTGATGAACAAGACAATGAATGGCACTTTTTGTAATTATGGTGAACAGTGTTCCGAGCCACACAAGTCACTCTATAAATATGATTCCTACAAACCCTAGAGTGATTTTAGGACCTCTTGGAGTGATTCCTTGGGATTTCTTTCTCTTTTCTCTTTACCCTTTCTACTCTCTCTTCCTCTCTCATTTCAGTTTTCTGATAGTTTGTTCTAGCCCCACTGCATCAGTGTGTTAAGGGAACTTCGAGTGTATCAAGAGCTAGGGTTTTGATGAAAAGATGTGAACACTGTAACTGTAATCTCCATTGTTTGATAGTGGATTTCTACTCTTTCGACGCCCACAAACATAGCTATAAGCCGAACCACATAAATCTCTGTGCCTACTATTGTGCTGCTCTTTTTTTTTTGTATTTTTTTTCTTCCTGTTTCTTAACTTGCCAATCATTCATCTTGTGCCTAGGTTTGTTAACATAATAACAGTAAAATTTTTGTTATCTAAAATTGCATTCTTTCTCACTTCTTTTCTCTCTTTAAATTAGGTTTATGTGATCCTATCCTTTTAATGCACCTAAATTTGTTAATTCTTTCACAATTATGTTAAATCATGTTGCATCTAGTTCTGTTTCTTGAATGATATACATAGATAATAGTCATCTTTGCATATATTGTTGATGACAAACATAAATCTGATTGTCCTAATTGAAAGGAAACAAAAACAAAACCATGAGATAACTAATGAACTGATTAGTTTTTTGGCAGTGGATGGATATTAGAGCTGTTAGGCATGGTCCCAAAAATGGTTTAATTCCAGATGATTAGACCCAATTAAAAGGAAACTAGCAAAAGTAAAACCATGAGATAAATAAAAAAAATCGATTGCCTGCCTGATAGAAAATGGTCATTAAAGCTGTCAGCCTTGGTACCAAAAGATGGTTCAAGTTCAGATGCCAGAATCAACCCAACCAATCAACCATGAGAACTTTCTTTCTTTTTTTTTAGGTAACCAACCATGAAAACTTTGAAGTCATGAACCATTGAAAAGGTGTCAATTAACACTGCTCTTGCCCATCAAATAGATATTGCTTTTAATGTTTTAATGCAACTTCAGCAAGACTCAAGCAGTCAAGCTAAACTTGATCATTTATGCTGGACTAGCTTCCCTAGACATTGGTTGAGTTTATATTTAAGAACTACCAGCAGAAGTATACTGAGTTGTCCCTAGGTTAAAACCTCAGACAATGCAACCCAACTGGGAGGTGAATACATATTATATTTTGCACGTGTCTTTGTGTATCAAAGTAACTTTGTTGATAACCTGATATTTAAGCATCAAAGTAACTTTCTGAGTAACAGGATCTAGATCAGGTCTGTACCATCAAAGTTAGCTTTTTTTGTTTGGTCTGCAGTGCTGGATAAGATTCCAACCAAGGAGAACTTAACTAGAAGAGGCTTAGAAATGGTGGATCTGGACTGCACATTATGTAATGGAAGTGTGGAGAATACCAGCCATCTGTTACTGCACTGTGACTTCACTTACTGGGTTTGGGTAAGACTGGTAGAGCTTTTTGGAGTTAAATTGTGTTTCCCAGCTGATGTCAAGGGTTTCTTAGAGGCTTGGTTCTTAGGAGGCTTCAACAAGGCTGGAAAAGTAGCTTGGAGAATCCTCCCCTCCACTGTCTTCTGGGTAGTGTGGAGCAAAAGAAATAATAGAATTTTTGAAGGGAGGCAGAAATCAAAAGCAGAGGTGCTCAACAGGATTATGGGTAATCCTGTCACACACTTTTTAAAAACAGACACACTTGTTCTTTTTTTTGAGTCTGATTTCCTTTTTGTAAGAAGTTATAGTGTTTTTTTTGGTTGTTTGGAGGCTGGCATTACTGAGTTTTACTGTCTATTCCGCTGTACAGTTTCTCATTGTACAGGAGCCCTATTGTATTTTGGCCTTTTGAATTTTGATATTAATGAAATACTTTACCTTGCAGATTTAAAAAATAAATAAAAGAGCACCTATTATCTAAGTACATTTTTGAGTTCTTATTTTAGAATATTAACAAGTAAAACATCTCTGTTAGTAGTCTAGATATTCCTCAAGTGTGAGAAATCTTGAGTCTGAAAATTTTCTATTTTTAATGAAATCATCTGTATTGCTGATCAAAAAAAAAAAAAAAAAATCATGAGTCTGCCTCATGAAACCCTTGTACAACTTTAGCACAAGAGAAAAAGTAGCCAATAACACAATTCAAGCATCAAGGTTTAACCTCATCTAACTCAACCAGACTTGGGTTCATTCAGGCTGTTATTCACTCAGTCCCAGGGTTGCCCTATTAATAAGAGATCCTCACCTGATAAACTTTACCTGTTCTTTTTCCATTGAAATGGCTTTGACATGTGAGAGTTAAGTATGAGATCTACATCGGTACTTACATTTACTGACAGAAGGAAAAGGTGCTCTTAGTCCATCCATTGCTGATAACACTGAAATAAATTCAAGCATTTGAAAGAATAGAAATTAGAAATGCACTTATGGCAGCACAGACTTGATTTTATGAAAAGGTAATATCTAGCTTATTAACATACCTGAAATTGCAGGAGTAAGGATACCATCACCAATTAGCATACACATTCCCAGCATTGCAATGAAAAGCAATACCCTTCTTGCAACCACACTCCCTTCAAAAAATCTTGCCAACCTGCTTGGCTTTTGAGGACCTTCATACTGGCAGGAATGTGAAATGCCCGGGTTCGAATCATTGCGTTTGGAAGAAAGAATCCCAATGTTTACATGCCTACAAAGTAATGAATATAAGGCAAAAGTACCACCTGCAATTTATTATTTTGCCTCTAGTTAATAGTCCAGCACAGAAAAACACTTCATGTAATAATGCAAAATGGAGTTGATTATAAAATATACACTTTAAGTTTCATCTAACTATTGCATATGCTATTAATACAGATATTTCTGGGTAGTTAATTTTGCAAGTTGTCATTAACTTAGGGTCTCATGGCAATCACATGAAGCCCACTTCTTGCTGCCACCAGAACTTACACAAGGAAATTTCCTGGGAAATGTAGATAACTTTGCATATTGTAATCCCCTGGACCATTGGCAAGAATAACTACTACAATCCTACCATAAGAGAAGGTGTCTAAGTAGTGATCGAGCAGGTTAGTCAAGGGATAACAATTTCCCATTGCCTGAAAGCCTTTACAAGGAAGTCACTTTTACATCTAGCCTTTAATAGTTCTATGTTTATATTAGCTATTGGGAATCCACATTAGGACACAGTTTATTCAACAGCATGTCATCAGGAATGATTACAGTATGCCTGGTGCAGTAATGTTGAAAATATTGTTTTTACCAGTCTATTCAGATTTGAGTATCCAAAATAAGAATACATGGGTTAACAGCATTAAAGAGTCAGATAACAAATACAATAGAGATTTTCACTTCTCCTTTTCTGGAAGAAAGTAATGGAGATTTTGTATTATAATTATCTCAGTCAATATCTCATCTGTTCTTAAAATTGGGATTTACTCTAGATAAACAAGTTGAACTGTAACCAGAGGTTAGTTCACAGCTAGCCCCTTTTAGGTCTGTTTTGGGTGTTAAAATGAGCTACTGGATTCTGCTTTAAGCTATGATGTCTAGATACCGACATGGATATGGGTACAGGTATCCCATTTAGTACGTTTATATCATGTGTATATACCTAGTTTTTGAAAATTGATATTAAATGTCATTTCTCAGGGCTTATGTCTTGCCAAACATAATTAAATTCTAACATGTGCAGTTTTTTTATAGTATAATTTGTTAAAAGATACCATGTTACATATTCTAAAAGTGTCAATGTTATAGAGTACACCTAGAAGTATCCATGCAGTATCAAGTATCACATCCGACACTAGTATCCTAGGCATGCATAAAGGTATCTTGGTATCACAGGTTTTAGGACAATAAATTTGTTTTTGTACACTCACCTTCAATATCTTCTCTTTCTTGTTTTTTCTTTTTTGTTCTTTGCGAAAGGAGATAGATATGCCTATTGCCACGGCATCACATAAAAGAATTGTCTTCCTGAGAATTTGGCTTCTTAGATTCACAGCATCTGTCGAGTACATGAAATAGCAAATCTCACAGGAAGATTCGCTAAAACCCTGATTCACAACCCTCATGTCTGGACAAAATAGCATTTTACACATGGTGAGACCGTGAAGGAGACAGGGAAAACCACGCAGGTTAGTACCTGGCCCCCTCCTGACATGTGTCTTCATCCTAAGGCGACCTTGGAGCTGCAACCATAACTAACAACTTCAGAATGTTCTGAAATATCGAGAGACCATGCATGTTTGCATGGCTAGATTTCCCTATAAATAGGGGATTTGGTCCCCTTGAGAAGGACTTTTCAAAACCATTCTCACCCCCTGCCCAATTCTCTACTACACTTCCACTGACATATCTTCTTCGACATCTGCATCCAACTTTCAGAACCTATAGACCAACGTTACCTGATTGGCTTACACTTTGTTTAAAAAAGGTCAATTTTCAAAGCTTGATAGAAAGGACTGATGAAGGTGAGTAGGGCTACAACATGGGTGGGCTCAAGTTGAGCATTTGTTAAAATTTGAATGCACCTTGCATAAGGGCCTGAGCCCAATGCTGTGTAAATTCTTCCAAGTTGGGAACCTGACTTGCACTCTTAACAGTAGGATTCAGTGTCTGGTCCAAGGTTTACTAACCTAGATTTTATCAATTTACCAATTGGACTTATATCCTCCTTACCATAAAAAGTAGAATGCCAAAGCCTCAATCAGAACTTCAACCAGTTCATATTGACTAACCTCATACCATAGTTGTCAAGGCCGCCTTGGCGGGCACCTAGGCGACAAGACGCCCTTGGAGGCTCGCCTCGCCTAACCGCCAAGCAGTTTTCTATAGTGTGTTATAAAAAACTTTTATATTCTTAATTTTTTGAGGTTTTAATTACAAAACATACATTTTAAACTAAAATATTCATTTTGTGTGTTTATATACTAATTTCTTTTTATTATTTGTTAGGGTTTAATCAACACAAGCATTGCTAAACGCCGTATTGAACCCTCAAAGACTTCAAAACCTAACCAATAAGGAAGAACTTAAAATGTTGTCCAATCAACACATTTTCTTCTTTTTCTTTACTAATTTTGTGTGTTTATATACTAATTTCTTCTTCTTCTTCCACCTTTTCTTTTCTTCTTTTCCTGTAATAGAAATTTCTTTTCTTCGTTCTTTCTTCTCATGAATATGTTGGAATATGTTGATTTTCTATACTTTAACATGAAGTTTATACTTTTCTTATGAAAATTATGGATATTTGTTAAGGAAATATGATTATGGAACCTAGGGAACTACCCTAGGATACATGTTTTTACTTAAAAAAATACATTGCCTAGGTGCCCACCTAGGCGATAGGCGACAAGGTGCCCCCCTGTCGCCTAGCCTCACCTTGGCACCTTGAAAACTATGCCTCATATTATAGAACCCAAGAGAATTCAATAACTTCATTCTTTTTCAGTTCATGGACTTGATAACAAATTTGTGGCGTTCAGCATTCTCCAATAATATAAAGGAACATAAGTTCAAATTCTTCCAATGCCACCCAAACTCTTCTATACCCCTCTCCTCTTCAAAATTCAGAATTTAGTTTTCTTTCTCTAAAGTCATTCTACCAGTTTCTTTTCTCCTTTTATTCCCTTCTAGAAAATGAAATTACTAGGGATTGGAAATATCAAGAAGATATGTCACCTGTGGAAGGCCAAGATCACTAGAGTATGGAATTGAATGAAAGGAAAATCAAAAAAAAAAAAAAAGCAACGGAAATTGCAACTTCTTTTTGAAAGTTCAACAAAAGAAAGAAAAGGGAGAATTGGATTATATCATAAGGACAATAAGTCAAGCAATAGTTCATTCAACTCATGCTAAATGGATGGTAATAGGCATGAAGTTTTAGGAGGGCTTTTATTCTTCAGTGTGTAATGAAAACAAAAACTATTTTAATGGTTTAACCAGTTTTCAAGGGCATAATGGATAATTGAATACATCTGAAGTTTTTCCTAATGAAAACCCAACCATACATTGATGAATTTTCCTAATGTTCTACTACCAACTGCACAAGGTTTCATGACATGACAATGGAATCCAACTTTCAACAGCTTCATCAAGTATATACCCACTTTGCAAATACAATATTTACTTCATATGGCACATTTTTCCAGTCTCCCACTACCAATTTGCTTCAACAGAGAGGTTTTAGGAGATCTAACACTCTAAAGAGAATAGTTCATCCAGCCTCAGTCCCAAACATTAGCTGGATTCAATGACAGACAGAACCAATCAAAGCCTAGATAAGTCATATTATACAGTCCTCACTCAAAATCTCAATTTGAGCATAAACAATGGAACCAAACTAATAGCCATACCTTCACCATGATCATCAGCTTTAAGAGCTATATAAGCATACTTGACCACGCCAATGAGAGTGAGAGTCCAAAACATGATGCTGTAAATTCCCAAGTAGTCATTTTCAGTAGGAGATTTCAAATTCATTGAAGGGTACACATAAAGAGGGGAAGTAACAAGTCCCCCAAAAACGACTCCAAGCGTCTTGTAAGCAAGGTACAGATTGCTCCACCTACTGCTCCCCTGATCCAAATACATATAGAGAATTCAAAATTGAGCTTTTTCAAAAATTGGAAACTCCATAACAAACATCTAAAAAGAGGAAAACCCGAACCTCCACAGACAAGAAACACATTGATGAATAGGATAATCAAGAGATTAAAATGAACAGACAAGTTTCAAAGAAAAAGGGTCCGATTCAATTTCATCACTGAAAATAATAAAAGAGAAGAGGTTATGTGCAGAAAGCAGGCACAATGGCATAGCAGGAACAAGAATCCATTGGACAAAATCACCGATCAGAGAAACGGAAAAACCAGAGAAGGCAAAAAAAAATGTCAAAAAAATCATAACTAGAGAAGAAACAAAAAAAAGAAACTCAACCCGACAAAGCCTTATCGCAACCAATTCCACTTTATCAAGGGCCAATAAACTCAAAATGAAACAAAATAATAATAATAATAATAATAAATAATAATAATAATAATAATAATAATAAAGGAACCCAATTAGAACCCATTAAACAGAATTCCACACGAACAAATAAAACAGAGACAAATAGACAGAGTATGAGAAATCAGTTTTCCATTCGTCTCTGTATGTTTACCCTCTCAGTGGGAGGACGTGAACCGACAAGTCTTTGAAGACTATGAGGATGGCTATTGGAGGTAGCTCCAGCAACAATTTCTGATAGATGAACTGCTGAATGCTCCGGCATGGCCAGTTCACCTTCCATAGATTCAGCTGTTCTTTTTCTGTGTTCTCCACTCCCTCAAGGGCCTCAACAAACGCCGTATGGAGAGACTAGGGAGCGGGACGTATTCAGTCTACTTAGCTGAGTCAATGGGTGATTTTAATGCAGGCGAATGGGGACTGAAGAGGATCAAGAACGTGGGGCCGAATCCTATTAGGACGTCTGGATCGGGTCGGTGTAGAACCGGATCAAATTACGTTATCATAAACTTGGGTGGTTTTTGACATTTTTGCTTTGGTAACTGATAAGAGTGAAAATATAAAATATATTCGCTGCAAATGCAAATATGTATGATTTATGAAAATAAAAACTCGATTTGGTTTTGCATGGATGAAGTTTGTATTCTTACCAAATATACACACTCATTTTTAACAACATTGACCAACATTTAAGTGTCGATTATATTATTTTGTTACACCAACCAACATTGAATGCAAAAGTTTGCTTCCATTTGTAAAGTTTGCTCTTATTTTGAATGCAAATATGTCAAAAAAAAATTATTATCATTTTTAATATACAAATATAAATAAAATCTATGATGCATAAATAAATTTATATCTATATTAATTTAAAAAGTACGAATAGCTTCAAGAATATTTCTAAAATTTTGTGATGACAAAATTTATTCCTCTATATTTAAATTTATTGATAAAAAATTAGGGCAAATAGGATAATTAGTTGTGGATATTAAATGAGTTGAAAAGAATTAATTGTCTCTCATTAAATCCAACATTTAGGCCCCATTTGCATTTTGGTAAGTTACTTACCTGGGTAAATGCACTTACACAGATAATTGTTTCCTAAGAAAGATTTACCCGATAAGTGTACTTACCCATGTGTTCTTTTAGGCTCAATTTGAAAAGAGTACAAATGTAAATACGTACAGCATAAATACATACAAAATATAAGGTTTTGCACTCTACATATTTGCATTTGTACTCCTTCCAAACTCAGCCTTATTTCCCATGAAAATAAGGCAATGATCATTTTATCCATAAAAATCCATTATTACAATGGGCATTTTTATCCCTTTGAAGTGTTGGCAACTTTCCCCCAAGGTGGGAAAGTTATTTATCCACCTAGGAAATGTGTACCAGGAAAATAAACTTTTCTTGATCCCCACATAAATATGAAATAGAACATGTGATTTTTGGTCAATGGGAATCAAAATCCCATTGACCAATTTTCCACCTCTCAAAATTCAGGAAAAGAGCGCCCCCTTAAGGTATTAATTTGCATTCACCTTCATTGAATCATATATTTAAGGCTTCTTTGTTTATTCTCATCATTAAATTCTATAATTAAATACATACATAATAAATTAACAATTTCAATAACATAAAAACTTATACTTTTAAAATCTACCTAGAAAAAATAGTGTTTTCACCTAGGTAATGGTAAGAAATTAAACCATTTGGGTCAAATGAGCCAAACCATGTTGCCACAATTAAATAATAAAATAAAAAAAATATAGAAACTAGAAAAATTGGAATGTTTTTAACATCATATATTTAACATATTAAACAATAATAAGTATAATAAACAATTTTTTAACAATCAACTCGGAGGCCGACCTGCTTTTGCCTTCAAGTCACAGGTCACCAATTCAACTGTCAAGGTCAAACGAGTTAAACTGCTCTACATCAACACTATGTGTGTGTGTGTAAAAATACATATTTTATCAATAAATAGTATAATTATATTTTACATATATTATAGTTATGTTTTACATATATTTTATAATTATGCTTTACATATATTACATATAATATATGTATTATATTACATTTATTTATGTTTTTTAATTCTATTTTAAATTTTTTATAATACAATTGAAATGCTACGGGTCAGGTCGAGTCAAGTTCGGGTTGAGGCATTGTAGGGTTGGGTTAGGGTTGAGGCAAACCTGCTCCCAATCTGACTTGTTGACATCCCTATTAGCATCTATCTCTAGCTATTTTTGGGGAAAATATAAAACCCCCTGGTTTTTTTTTTTTTTGACAATCATATAAACCTCCCTTGTATTTTGATACTAACAAAAACCTCCACCATAGTTTTAAGGCCATGTTTGGGAGTGCTTAAAAATAAGTGCTTATTTGGGCCATTAAGAACTTATTGGTATTTGGGAAATAAGCTCAAAATAAGTGCTAATTTTAAAAATAAGGGCTTATTTTTTAGCCCAAATTTCTAGATTTTTTAAGTTCTTATACAATAAGCACTTACTCAATTTTTTTTCTTCCAAAATTATCCTTAGTTGAATTTTATAAAAGTACTTTTATGAAAGCACTTTTACAAAAGTATTTTTATGAAGCACTTTCATAAAAATATTTTATGAAAATACTTTACAAAAGCACTTTTACGAAAGTACTTTTATGAAAGCACTTTTGTAAAAGTACTAGTACTTTTATAAAAGTACACAAAAGTGATTTTGTAAAAGTGTTTTCATAAAAGTGCTTTTATAAAAGTACTTTCACAACAGTGCTTTTATAAAAGGACTTTTACAAAAGTGTTTTTATAAAAGTAATTTAATAAAAGTGCTTTCAAAGGGAATATTTTAAAAATTTGAAAGAAAATGAAGAACAAAATAGTCACAAATACTTATTTAAATACTTATTAGAGAAAAAAACTACCAAACGCCCAATATAAAATAAGTACTTGTTCAAATAAGCACTTGTTTTTAAGCACTTATTTTTAACTTAAGCATTCCCAAACATAGCCTAGTATTTTAGACTGAAAATATTGACATATTTCATTGATTTTGTAAAATACCATAAGGTTGATTGTGAGAAAACCCATTAATTTGAACCCCTCAATCCCAGGAATACAACGATCAACCCACATGTTAATGTTTGTTCCTTCATTAATTTTTCTAAGGATTCCTTTTACCAAATATATTTTCCAGAATACTTTTCCATGTTATTGGTTCAACATTTGCATTCTTACCAAACACAACCAGATAACCTTTTATAAATTTCAAAACGTGAATCATTATATCATTAACTTTTAATGAGGTTGGTCTGAATTTTCGAAGTCAAAATTTGTAGGCCCAGATTTATATTCGCATACTGATACCTTGGGATCCATACTGATTCCTTAGCGTTTGGTAATTCCTAAAAAGCTCCAACCATGGGGATGCAAGCTTCCTGCCAGCTCCCAAATACAAACAAGTTGATGATTATTGCATCTCATTGCAATTAAGATCATAGAATTCTGTTTTGGTAAGCTTTTGGCTTCCCTCAAAAGGAGGAAGTAATTAGTACTTATTCAATTCTTTTCTTCCAAAATTATCAGTAGTTGAATTTTATAAAAGTATTTTTATGAAAGCATTTTTACAAAAGTATTTTTAAGAAATTATTTTTATGAAAGCACTTTTATACAAACACTTTATGAAAGCACTTTTATAAAAATACTTTACAAAAGCACTTACGAAAGTACTTTACAAAAGCACTTTTATGAAATTACTTTTACGAAAAACTTTTATGGAATTAATTTTATGAAAGCAATTTACAAAAGTACTTTGATAAAAGTGCTTTCATAAAAGTACTTTCACAAAAGTATTTTCCTAAAAATGCTTTCATAAAAGTACTTTCATAAAAATGTTTTTATAAAAGTATTTTCATAAAAGTTCTTTCAAAGGGTATATTTTGAAAATTTAAAAGAAAATGAATGACAAAATAGTCACAAATGCTTATTTAAGTGCTTATTAAAGAAAAAAATAACTACCAAATGCCCAATATAAAATAAGTACTTATTTGAATTAGCACTTGTTTTTAAGCACTTATTCAATGAGCACTCCCAAACATGGCCTAAAAATTGTTCAAATACCTCGTTTTTGTTAGTATTCTAGACTGAAAATGTTGATATAGTACATTGATTTATAAAATACCATAAGGTTGATTGTCAGAAAACCCATTAATTTGAACCCCTCGATCCCAGGAATACAAAGATCTACCCACATGTTAATGTTTGTTCCTTTAATAATTTTCCAAAAGACTCCTTTTTTCAAATATATTTTCCATAATACTTTTCCATGTTAATGATTCAACATTTGCATTCTTACCAAACACAACCTTTATAAATTTTAAAATGTGAATCATTATATCATTAACTTTTAATCGGTATTCGGGTTATAAGTTGGACCCGATTTTCAATCGGGTCTGAATTTACAAAGCCAAAATTTGTAGGCCCATATTTATATTCGCATACTGATACCTTGGGGCCCATACTGATTCCTTAGCGTTTGGGAATTCCCTTTTAGCTCCAACCTCCAACCATGGATGCAAGCTTCCTGCTAGCTCCCATATACAAACACATTGATGGTTGCATCTTCATTGCAATAATTAGTATCATAGAATTCTGTTTTGGTAAGCTTTTGGCTTTCCTCAAAAAAGAGGAAGTAGTTTGTACCAAAAAAATGGTAAATTACTGAAATCTCCTCTGAAGTTATAGGTTATTACTGAAATTTCTCATGAAGTGTGGTAATTGTAATCACCACCCCTAAAGAGTTGTAAGTAGACCCTTATGTTAGAATCCTTTAAAAAGAGGCACAAAAATATCTAAAATATTCATGCAGTTCCTTTGA